GCCACAGAGGTTAAAATCCTGCATGGTAACATTCAATGATCAGAGTTTCAGCTCTAAAAAAAATACTGAATGTATTTAAACTCTATTCATTTCTATTTTTAAAAACATTTTAAAGCAGTTTGTGTTTTTGTGTCCAGTAGTGACATAACTTTCCTGATATCAATACAAAGCCCATCCATCATAAAAAGTCACATGGTGTGCACACCATGAATTACATCAACTGTGATGTTACTGGCAGCTGCTGGTTCGTTTGAGCCGAAATGTTGAGCAGCTCTGAGTGTGAGTCAACTTTTAAAGACAGGGTTACTCATTTCCTCACTTTTGAAGATGTTGGTTGAACTTGTCTTTAGGTCCTGACAGAAATTAATAACTCATGTTCTCTGAAAAAGGAACAAAGAAAATCCGTCATCTGTATCAGTTGTAAGCCTGAAAAAACTTTGACCAATGTCTGCCACGAGGTACCAATCTGATGAATCAATCAGACATCGCCATGTCCCCCTGCTCGCTCTCTACCTCTTACCTACCTCTAGTCCACACTCCAAGCGCATCAGCAATGACGGAGTTTTTACTGTGAGTTTACTTACCGCTGAATAAGACATGAGACGACATAGTTTTTACACAATGTGTTGAGCTGATGTCCACTTCTGGAGCAAGAGCAATTGTGCATGTAAGTGAGGGGGCGTGGCTTTTGAGGGAGCACAGAGGGGAGGGGGTGGGTGCAGACGGTGCACTGAGGGAATGCTACTTTCATCATGCTAGTTTTCAAAAACTACCAACCCTGCCTTTAAATCCTACTACCTTCTTAAAGTATGGATGATAAGCATTCTTCCTTCTTCACATTTTTTGTAAATGGCGGCCATATGGTAAATTTTGTAAATGCATATAATCGGATGCTACCCAGAGGACCAATCACAGGGTGTGCAGTCTGCGTTGTTTTGACAAGTAGTTTCATGTTTGACTAGGTGCCATCAGGCTGCGTATGTTGAGTTCCATCCTCATGTCTGACACTATTTCTGTTACTTTGGACGTCATGCTCCTCTAGTTAAGATGAAACTTACATCTCCATGGTAACCAAACTTTGACAAAGGGGCTGTTGAGCCCTTTAAGGGTAACCTGAGTGTCTACTGACCCACAAAATGTGAAAAAAACCCATTAATTATAAATAAAGTCATTTGTTTGTGGTCTGCATAAGTCTTACCTGCAATTCACATATACTCCGTGCGCGCCGCGGTCCGTCAATGCCACGGTTTTGCTCCGTTGGACGGCTCGCGCCCATTCACACTGGATCCGTTTCTGGGACGTCAGCGCAGCGGAGCGCACCCATGACACATCACAGGAGAACTACAAGATCCCGCGGGTATAAAGAGAAAAACATGCAAACAACATGTTGCTTTGTCTTTCTGAGGATGCATTGTTGTTAATTTGGTTCCTGTTTTGACTTCATATTGATAAAGTGATGAAAAATAAGATCGCGATTCCATATATTGTGTTTTATTTTGAAATTGACCGGATGCTCTATGCATTTCCTTTTCTGACTTCCTGTCCGGGCTGTCATATTCTGTCCAGCTTGACGCGAACTTGCAGCGTACTCCGGCGAAAATAGACTCGCTGCGTATTTGAAACGGAGCATAGCGCAGTGCCGTCGGTGCCAACGTAGTGCGCGGCGCTGACGGACCGTGGCGCGCACGGAGTATGTGTGAATTGGGCTTTACAACAAAGAAAAATGCAATTTCAAATGTGCTCTCCTTGTGATGTCACAGTGGGATTCTGGTAAAATCCCCTCCCCTCCCCTGGTATCTCCACCCATGGACTCCACCTCCAGCGTAGAACAAAACTTTTGAGCAGGTCCGCCGTATTTATTCTCTCTACAGAAGAGTGATGTCTCCTGGGAAAACTCAGAGAGGGGTCATTGCATTTAAAGAGACACACACACCAAAACGGAGCGTTCTGAGAGAGCTGGTTTAAACAGGGTCACAAACCTCCTCTGGCGCTTGATTCATGTTATATTTTGACCAAAACACAGCACAGATGTTTCATTTAGACCACAGAAGACTGTTTGAAAAGGTGCAAAAGAGGGATAATATGTACTCTTTAAAGGTTTATTGAACTAGCTTCTCTGATTATTTATTTCCACTTTGTCAAAGAGATTTGTTTACAGAGATTCCGGACTTTTGATAATTATGGTTTCTAGACTTTCAGAGACTTTAACGACAGATTAATATAGAAACAACAGGTAGTCATCAGCATACAGGTTTATTAAAACTCTCTAAACAAGAGTCCAACACAAACTGAAAGTCACAACACACACTGAGAACAGGGTTACATTCACACACATTGAGCTGCTCCTTTAGTTCACCATGTTGTTCATCTCAACATCTGCTGCTGCTTACATTACAAAGAGGACTTTGACATCCTCAGGGGCGTGTCCAGACCTTTTTGCCCACCTCGGGCTCTGACTCATGCAGGGGGGGGGGGCCGGATGTTTGAGGGCACACACACGCAAATGACTTCAATATTTAACCCTTTCTATCCCCACTAATGACGTGAACAAGTCACACAATCTGGAAACATAAATCCGCTTGGCTAGATTCTTTAGGGACTCAAAAACAGAGATGTAACAATTTAAAGTACTTAGAAGAATGCATGCAAACTCTTGGAGGCTGTCTAACTTGCAAAAAAAAACCATTTATCGGTAATCAAGACCATCTCAAGTCGGATAGTGTGCACGAGTCATTGCTCAGAAATTTTTTATGGAAAAATGCAAAGTATTTTTTTACAAGTGAAAGTACATTAACTTGCAGGGAGAATTTGCAGCAGCCTGTTCAAAACAGCCAGAACAGTTGATTTCAAATTAAGTCCGGCCTGTGATTAGCCAAAGAGCGAATCATAGATTTAGATTTTGGGGTGGCCAATCAGATTTTGAGGGGGCCCTAGCCACTCCTCTGGACACGCCCCTGAACATCCTCAAACTTTAATTTGTGTGTTGAATGGTGAATCACCAGTGATGTCACTCCGCCAGTATCCAATCACCTCGTCTTGTTTGCTAACAGACTGGCGTCACAGCTGCCGTCCTTTTTTACACAAAGTATATAAACAGTAAAATATCTCAAGGCCAGACATGCTTATTGATAGAAAACATCTCGTCTTTTCACACAAATGGAATCAGCATGCCTAAAACAAAGACTCTGTGATCGTACTCATTATCTTCAGACATCTATTCATTATAATTCATCTTTTATTTTCATTATTCTTTCATATTTTGGAGTTCTTTCATCCCGTCAGAAAAACCTCAGAGCTCCTAGCCTGGGTTGTCCTTGAACGTCCGTTGAATAAAATGTGGTTTTTTTAATTGTTTTTTAATTGTTTTGTAAGAAATTATTGAACTCTTTTTTTTTTTCTTGAAAATGACACATCCACCGTTTGAAAAGGTGAAACTACTGCTACAAAAAAACGTCAATAGCACCAAATTAAATCAAAGGATGGACGTGTGGGCGGGTTCAATCTGAAAATACGCTCACATGACGTCTGAACATTGTTTTCAAAGGTACACCATCTAGAAGACCAAACTAATGACAAAGTACAAACATCAGGCTGCCGGGTCAGGCTTCAAGCAGGTTACAGAACGCCATGAATCCTCCAGTCTTCTAAACCTCACAGCCGCAGATCTTCAGGCTCGCCATGTGCAGCCGGAGAGTCGGCCTCAGAGTCTGAGAGAGTCCAGCACCTTCTCCCTCTGTCCAATGTTCTTTTTTTATACATTGCATCAGTGTTGGACATGAATGGTCACATTTAAAGGCCAAACTCGCTGCAACTGCCCAAAAGATTGTCACAAGAAGAAACGAGCCGCCAATTCAGAGAAAATTAAAAAACACATAAATACTCATCTGAAACAAAAGTAAGACGTGGAATGTGCTGCGGATGAAGAATAGTATCTGAAAGACACTGATGGTGCAAAGACATGAACAGAAAACAAAGAAACAAATACAAAGACAACAACGGAAATCCTCGAGGCCTGTAGGGGGCGCTAAGTGGGACAGAGAGAGAGCACGGAGGCTTTCTATGACCTGACCAAAAAACAAAAAGACGACATCAGAGAATTGTGTTTTAAAAGGGAACAACCCAACTTTCCTCTTTCGTTTAAAAAAGTAACTCCATCCACACGCTCTGTTCTCAAAATCATCTTCGTCCACATGTAAACGCAGAAACACAAAAATGCTCTGTCATGGCTGTTGTGACCATACCAACAAAGATGTCTTCTCCATTCCTCTGCAATGACCATTTCATTTTCAAAGTCGTCCAATCAACCTGAAGTCCTACCACGTTGGCGGCCGGGTTTGTGTCGTTGTGCATATGAAGCAGCTGTAACCTCCGTTGTCCAATCAGGCGTCTCTGCTCGTCATCATAGTGGGAGAGTAACATCGGTTAGCGTCAGCGCTAGTTACGTCAGCCATCGCACTAATCTCATGAAAACTAGTGACAGCGTCGCACGATGACGTCACACGGAGGAGAAACCGGCGCACAGCGGGACGTTACAAGAACAGAACTCTGTTCTCCCTGTCTACACAGAAACACCTTAAACAGAGTTTCTGAACATCTTCACCCTGGAAGGAGTTTTACTGAAGGAGAGTTTACAGAGACCTGAAATGTTGCAGAGAGAAAGATACGTTTAAAAAAAAAAAAGTCTACATGAGGATGAGTCCTTAAGTATTTTATCCACATCCCATTAGCGCCCCCTATAGGCTTGGATACCTCCACTGCAGGTTTGTTGTTTTGTGTGTTTGTTTCTTTTCTTCAGCTCGTTCGCTCGTTGTGTTTGTTCTGTATGATTTTTAATCAGCTTCATTTCTAATCGTGCTGCCTGTTCCTCATCATAGAATCCTCCGGGCTGTCATAGTGGGATTACCTTTAGTTAGCCGACACCGACCGGCTCTGTCAACAACCTACACACACACACACACACACACACACACACACACACACACACACACACACACACACACACACACACACACACACAGACACAACCTACATACACACACACACACACACACAACCTACACACACACACACACACACACACACATACATTGTTAAAGAAGCTGCCGATGGGTTGCATGAGTGATGTCATCGTTGCGTCTGATTTGAATAAAAATGGATGAAAATCATTTGAACAGAGACAAACTGCCTCAGTGAAGGCTGCAGCAGATTTAACAGATCCTTACTACAATAAATAAATGTAACGGTAAAGACGGACACATGCACACAGATGCTCGTTTAGCTGACTTACAGAAAAATAAAATGTATAACCTTCCACATTTGTTTTTGTCATGTCACTCCGTTCTGCTTTTTTATCTCCTGTTTTTCATGTTTCTGTGCAAAATAAATATTCTGTTTTCCTTTTTCTGCAGCTGGGTCGGGTTAGAGATAAACGCAGCGTGCACCTTCCCAATAATGTCACAGCAATGGCAAACAGACCCAGTAACCACGGCAACCAAATAAACCATAATTTCTACAAAAATCATGGAAGAGGCTACAAAGTGCTCTGGGAATAAAGCAACAGAAGAAGAAGCTTCAAATCTTTGGTGTTTTTTCGTCTCATCAGGATGTTGTTAAATTAAATAAATTGATGAATTAAGGATCATTAATACATCTGACCCTCTTTTCCAGGCTCAGGCCTCCTGATTGGTGGATTTGTGGGGCTGCAGTGTGTCGACAGATATTTGTAGCGCTGTTCCTCGTTCACTCCTAATGTGCTCATAAACTTCAGGTCTGACCTCTCTTAATGAGGATTAATGCACGATCTCTCTCCCTCCTCCACATGCACACCTCACACCTGTTACTGATGTGGAGCTTTATGTCCACATCCTGTAGGAACAGGGGTCAAAGGTCATTCAGAGGGTAACTGTGGGATTCTGGGTAAGTCCCAAAGGAAACTCAGAAAGTGCCTAAGTTTGTGTTGTAGTCCTCATCAAAGCTCTCACACAGTCGCTAATGTTTCAGTCAGAGTCTGACTCACTAAACATGACGTTGCATTTGCACCACTTAACCTTTTCAAATCCATCATAGGTCAGCGTCTGATTCACAAACACACACAAAGGGTTAAATGCTCCCCTAACTGAGCTGCAGCGCAAACAGCCTCTCTGTGCGTTGCTGTCATCCGAGCTACATGCTTAGACCTTCAGATGCAGCAGATCACTTCTTAGTGTCGCCGGCCTTCAGTAAGAAATCACCTCAAAGTCTTTCAGAGTGGAGATTTGGATTGGGCGGATAAGAGTAAGATAAGATAAGATAAGATAAGAGTTTAGTGTTCATTAAAAGAGAAAGAGGAGACGGATGAATACGACCGATAGGAAAGTGGAGAACGGCTGAATGTGTGAAACTGGAGACAGTCCTTGTAATGAATCAGTGCTTCTCTACAACATTGGTTTTATGTATAAGACTGTGTTGCTATGACAACCAGAACATAATGAAGAGCAAGAGGACTTTTGAATTGAGACAAGTCCTTGAGTTTAACAAACTCACTGATATCCTCTGAAGCACACATTACTGCACCGTTTGTCCTCACTTCCTGTTGTGGTTTACAGTGTGAAGAGTACAGCGTGTTGATTGGCTGAATGATTGCTGTGACATTTCATGGGATTTATTTCAAATCCTTTGACAGATGAACAGTATATACACTTCCTCAGACATTTGAAATGAAAGTCTATCAGGAAATGTTCATCGTCAGTCGGTCGTCTCTCGGGTGTCTCACGTGTTTTTCCTCTCGGCGCTGGCGTCCAGTATTTTTCTCATCACAATTTCATCAGAACAAAACAAAGGAACAAAGAGAGGAATGATGGAGATGATGAGTCGTGCTTCTGTCCACTGGAATGTAAACGAGTCCGTCACTTGTAGGGGGAGGGGGACTCGCTGGTTTGGTCAGGGTGTGTGGGGGGGTCTTCTCGGGGTCCACTAGTCATACGGGCCCTTCAGTCAGACCCTCCAGGGGGAGGCTGGTGGCGTTGTCGGTAGGCTGCGGGTCATCCTGGTGGTGGGGGGGCGTGTGGGGGCCGGCGGGCAGACTGGCGTAAGGCAGGTGGCAGTCCGAGTGCAGGAAGGGGGGGTAGTGCTGCCGATAACAGACGTACGCAAACAACAGGCCGATCACTCCCCCGACGACGGCGTCTGAAAAACACAGGGACGCTTTTGAATAAAGTTATTTTAGATTCTGAGGAGGCGGAGAAACAACACCTGAACGTCTCTTTATCAGAGCCTCATTAACGCCACGATAAATACAGACCAGCAAACACACACACACACACACACACACACACACACACAACCACACACACACACACACACACACACACACACACAACCACACACACACAAACGCACAGACATAAAAAATAATAATAATAATAAAAAGTCAAGCTTTGTCAGGTTTGTCATCGAGAGGAGAAAACTATTTTTAAAGGCCCCATATTATTTAAAATCCTCTTCACCATGTTTCTCTAACTCTAATATGTGTCTTTATATATATATACATATATGTATATATGTATATATTTGTGTGTACCTGCACCTCTTTTCAGAAAATGTGTGCTCAAACAGGCTGTTTGGAGATTTTCCCTTCATGACATCACAAAGGGCAGCAACCCCTCCACCAGGTGGGTGACACTCCCACAGCTAGGTGTTTGTTCTGCCCTCTGAGTCTGCCTTCTCACTGTAAACAATAGGACATGGAGCGAGAAAGCACGAGACACCCAAGCCCTTCCAGAGAGGGGGCGTGGTCAGACACAGCTCATTTACATATTTAAAGGTACAGACACAGAAACAGACTGTTCTGAGCAGGGCTGAAATAGAGGGGTTTATAGGCATGATCAAATACAGGATCAGAGTGGATTTAGAACAAGAAACTTCACACACATGTTTTGAGGAGCTCTGAGACTTATTTACACTGAAGAGGAGGAGGATATGTGACCTTTAAAAGGAGGTCAGATTGATCATTTCTGATGCATCCATCAGGAAATCTAAACACTGATTGGCTTTGTGACACAGAATCAAGTATGTGATTCACTCGAGTGTTGTCTGATGTAGAACAGAAAGTTAGCTGCTCTAAAATGCAAATATGTGTTTAAAGTCAGATCACAGCTGATGGGAGTCAGGATGTCATAATGGAGTCGTTTTTCCGTTTTTGGTCGATACTACAAGCTGAAACCAAAACATTTCTCATACTACAATGGAGACCCCCCAAGTGCAGATTCTACAGTTTTGCAGACTCTGTAAATAGAGACGAGCTAAACGATGGTGCTCCATTAAGCAGAGTGATTGATGTTTTAATAAAAGTGTGATGGTGTCTCGGCGCTCGTTGATCACAGCCGGTTTTAAAGGTGATAAAATAAACTGAGAAGGATCAATCTGCTCTGAGATCTCACTGAGGCTGTCTTCCCTCTGGTCATCCCATCTGCCATCAAACTGAATGCTCTCTTATTACCCCTGCCCCCCTTCAAGCTACAATACATCACACTGCTACGGTGAATATTAAGCCATATTACTGCGTATAGATCACAATGACACGGCCGGCTGCCGGCTGAAGCAGCTGAAGGATTTCTTAATGTCAGAGAAATCATATTTCTCCATGCATCTCACCAAACTCTTTATTTCCTTCAGCTGAAATATCAGAAAACATTGATTTCCACCGTTCAGAAACCACGCGACGCACAGGCCCTGTGAGTGTTTCATCGACTCCTGTCAGAGTTTAATAGACTCTGACCTGAAGTAATGTATTCGTTTTGTGGCCTTAATGAGACGCTGACTGTTAGCCCGGTCTTTCCCCCTCAGGACACGGCACACCTCCAGAGCACAAAGAGAAGCAGGGACTATTAGTATCCATCACATGTGGTTCAGCGGCCGAGCTAATGGAGCTCCCAGCTGGTGTTTACTCTGAGAGCAGACCGAGGAGCCCTGAGTGTTAACGGGCTGAGCCACTGCTGCTTCAACTGTGTGCCGACCAAAAGTAACCAAAATATTCTCCTCAGGAGAGTTTCACTTCTGGAAGGTTTGTGCAGTTAAACACAACCTGCAAATATTCTCTAGATATGTCACAAAACCAAACTGGTTCACCTTAATCTCCATCCTCCTCCATCAACTGTGTCCTGCTGGGTCCAGATTCTTGGTACCAGATACTGGTCTGATGACCTGTTAGCTAGGATCAGTACCAGGTCCCAGTTTGATGACTTGTTAGTTAGGACCAGTACCAGATCCCAATATGATGACCTGTTAGCTAGGACCAGTAACAGGTCCCAGTTTGATGACCTGTTAGGATCAGTACCAGGTACATGAGGATTAACATAAAGTCTGAGTTCAGGATTTCTCAGGTCTTCCAGGAACAACTCCTAAAAATGAAAGATTTTTAAATGGAATTTGGTTTGACCATTTCTGATGCAGAGACAAATCTGCATAAAGAGAATTACAATTTTTAATTTGAGAGAATTCACAAAGTGGAGTGATTCATTTTGCATAACTGGAGGTTCTCAGCATGAATTATAACCGGGCGATGCAAATTCCTTCCTCTTGTTGGGAACTCGTTGCATTAAACATTTGCTTTCAGTTCTGGTCCAAACACAACGTTAAAGAGCAGTATGTAACTCTGACACCTAGTGTTTAAAATGGGTACTGCAGTCTAAATTCTAAACATCATAGAGAGCTGTGCGGTTAAACCAACCCAGTCTCATGTCAAAATGTGTAATACCTATGTTGGTCCACAATGCAAAACGTAATAGTTTCACAATAAGGGCTCTAAAATTGTGACATGTCTACGTTTCCTTTTGCCTATTCTTTTGTATAGGCATACCTCAGGTCACGTGACTGCCCAGTTTTCCCCTGGCAAAAAAAAAAAACATGGCGGACATCCCTTCTATTTTCGGTGGAACATTTTTTATAGCTATGGACGCTATTAACAACGAACCGGAAGGAAGTGGACTTTTGGTTCGCGGCTCTTAAAACGGGTTACATCAGACCCTAGACATCAAACTAAACTCCTATGCAATAAATAATGATTTCTGTTACATTTTTATGGATGGCTTTCATTACAACCAAATTGAATAAAACAATTGGAACAGATCGATGCATATTAGCAACATTAGAAACTATAAAATGTAACAATACATAAAGACAATACTGTACAGTTTGTGTGATTTATATGATTTCATAATTTTATTTAACAAAATAAGCCTGATGGATTAGATTAATACCAGAAAAAGCAATCAATAAAGTAAACGGCCGGCGATAAGAACTACAAACGGGCGCATGACACTGACATCAAATAATGACGTATTGATAATCGTCACTTGTGAGCGACCTCTTTATTAGATCTTTCAGGGGATATTTACTGATGTTTTTTAAGGTTGGTTGCAAAAACACATCTTAAATCTGTGTTAACCAAAGATCCCATTCCAGGAATCTAAGCAAAAACCCATTCAAAAAGCCCTTTATGCTATGGTCTGCCAGTGTGCTGCTGACATGCGCAATCGTGCAGTCACGCCCACTGTCGGTTTAAAGGCTGAGGGCGCGTTCACTATTGAAACACTTTTATCAAAACATCAAAAAAGGGTGTTAAAAAGTGTAAAAATGTTCCAAAAGACAGAGGATCATTCTCCACTATATGCTGTATGCTTTGTGAACAAGACTGATGTTAAAAACTCAAAAGACCTAATTTGACCATTTGAGGCCTAGCAGAGACATGAAGCCTTTTGACCTGTTCAACCCTGTTGCTCTATGAAAGACATTAAACTGAACAAATTAGATTAACGCTTCTAAAAGGAAAGAAGGATTAAAAAAAAGTACTAGGATGAATTAACATGGACAAGAGCATAAGAGATTTTTACTTTTAGCCATAATTCTAAACCAAGCACTTAAGGCTGTCCTCCAAGCCTATAGTTCCCCAGATTTCATGATATACTTATACCAAAACAAACAAACAAACAAACAAAATTAAAAAAATTAAAAATACATAATTTTATGTACTGGGCTTTGAAAGAGTTCTATGAAAGTATGACTGCAAGACCCCTTGCCTATGAAATGAAAATATTTAGGTTTTTGGCTTAGAGCTGAACGACATACATCGTTGGAAAGGTCTCATCCTGGAGAGTAACATATGTGAAGATGAGGTTTCAACATGACCCCTGTTTTGAAATAACTGTTTTAGAGAGGTCTTGGAACAAAGTATCATGTGAGGGTAGTCAGCTCACCAAAACAACAGGGGGAGCTGCTATATATGGTTAAAATACATTTTAACAAATGTATCAATTATTTTTTAAATATCTGATAACATAAATGTGTTAACCATCCAATTATACTCCCCTGTGTACACTCAATTAAATATATATTACTTCTTAGGTAAGGGAAGCACTGAGATTTCTCTAAAAGACTACAATTCCTCAGAGTCAAGTCATACAGCTTGATACTGAATGGCGCCATAATTGTAGTCTTTTCCCTTTCCAAATAAAGGTTGTAACTAGGATTATAAAAGGCTTACAAAAGATCAAGAATCGTAGAGAGCTTAATTTTTGGTGTAAATAAAATCTGGTCGTTAAAGGAGCTGTCTGTTTCAGTCACGCTGCTCCTCCTGAACATATGGCTCTTTAAAACTAATTAACACCATATGACAGAGCTGTCATCACATTACCTCCTACAGCCCACCCACACATAAATTCCCCTCCCCTCCGTCCCCTCCCGGTCTCTCACTAGTCCTTACTGAACAGCTACACTGGAGCTGAATGTGATGATGCATTCTGCAGCCTGAGAAGTGAGCAGCTCTGTGTTTGAGCCTCTTCTTTAGTGTGGTCATGCTGATTGAGTCTGAAATGTGATTACAGCGGTTCAACACGTGCTTCCCCTTGAGTGTTCCTTATTAATTATTCATATTATGATTATTAAACTGCCCCGAGCCGGGTGAGATTAAAACGTGTGCAACAGTCATCTCTGTCAGGCTGCACAAACACATCAAATGCTCAGAGAGTTTAATAAGCAGGATTTCTTTAAATGCACTAAAACCAGAGCGGTGTCCTCGTGTGTGTCTGTGTTCTCTGTGAGGCCGAACCTTGCCAGTGGTGTTTGTAGTCGCAGGTGCGGGACAGAGCGATCATCATGGCGCTGTAGAGAGGAAGCACCATGGCACACAGACGCCAGCTCCGCCCCCGTCCCTGATCCGTGAAACACTGCAGCTTTCCCGCCAGGTAGAAGGAGGTGAAGCCCAGACCAGAGAACGCAACTGACGGGAGGAGAAAGAGAGAGATGACTTTCACATATTCAGATAATTCATCAACATCTAAAACAACACTGACTCCAAACGCCCTTTTTAACTTTGAACTACAAACACGTGTTTTTTAATCTGGTAAATAAATAGTTGAGTCATCAGCATACAGTGAGATGAGTTACCAAAGGAAGTTCAGTATTAAAGATGTGTGGCCCTAGAGAAGCTCCCTGAGTCATCACAAAATTTAAATGTGCTTAAAAACCAAAATTATTAATTAATTATAATTTTTTTGTGGTTTTCCCATCATGTACAGGATAGCTTTGTTTAAATGTTTCTTTATTTCAAACTTTATTGAATCCTGCATCAGTCGACAAACAGAAGAGATAGAAGATGATCGCGTCCTTCATGTCAGCAAGCTTGCAATGAACTCTGGGTTAGTCCAACAGAAAAGTCTGCAGACATGCAGACTTAGAGAAAGTTTCACACGGTTACCGGGAACAAAGTGTGTGTTAGTGTGTGTGTGTGTGAGTGTGTGTGAGCGTCAATCCTTCACCCTGTCTTTGTCAACTGTTAGTATGGATTTTTCTGTCCTCTTCTCTTTTTGTTGGACTTTGTTTGTTTTTCTTTTTTGCCTTTTTGTCTCCATTTTAAATAAATAATTTTGTTGATCTGCTCTTTGTTCCGATACTTTGATTATTCCACATTGTGATGCCCTGTGGCGCCGCAGCTTTTACACATTTTGCCTCTTAATAGTTTCCATTAAAGAAAACATTTTCCTTCCGTCTTTAATGTATCCAGAGTAACGCTGACTGAGAAGAAACTGAGGCAGATCTCCGTTTTCTCCAGCAGCTCTCGTCTGCACACCGAGGTCACAGGAAAGCTGCGCTCTGAGCGAGAAACAGATGGAGCAGAGCTGCTGCTGGAGGCGTGTGCATGTGTGTGTGTGTGTGTGTCTGTGTGTGCGTCAGCTGATGGAGGTCAGTGTGAGAGAAACAGCGGCGCTCTAATTGTCTGAATTACAGGTTCTGATGGAGCCGGTGCAGAGACCGGGTCATTAGTTTAGTGCTACAGAGGCCAAACAGCACCCATCAGCACCCATCAGCTGCCCATTAGTGAACACCCCACTAACCAGGAGAGGGTGCAAAGCATGCTGGGACATGTGTGTCGCCTGCAGAGAGAGGAAGGACGTCCAGCTGTCTCAGAGAAGTCGTGCTGTCAGGGAGCAGTCAGAAGCTAATTTAGGCTCAAATATTATCCGAGGGGGAAGATTAGAGATTTCATTAAATGATGATGATGGAAATAAGCAGAAATTATAGATTTAATGTTGTTCTCTGGATTTCTACTTTGAAAAGGAAACTCGTATGAGTCTACAAAATAAATCCACGGTGGGAATTAGTTTAAGTCCCGGATGTTTGCTTCTGTTTTGTTTTGCAGCTAACAAAGACGTGTGAGCTCATGTGGGCTTCATTTTGGAAACATGAGGAACAAGCGGGCTCAGGTTTGAAAGATGAGCTGCATGAGAGAGCCGTGAATAAACAGAGAATCTGCAGCAGAGTCAGTCGAAGTGTTTCAGCACAGATTATTCTGTTGTTGAGCTCTGTACAATAAACACACTGCCTCAGAAAGAAGCACTGCGTCTGAATTAGACCCTGAGACGAGATGGTCCAACAGCATCCTAACAATACAACAACAGAAGAGTGAAAGTAGACTCTCTCACACCCATATCAATAAATCATAACTACACATATCGGTGAGTAATGATTCTCTAAAAAAGAGAGTGAAGTTAAACTCCCTCTGGGTTTGTTGTTCTCAGCTCTGTGTTCACACTGAAGGGGCGGCGCTTCATTCAGCGATGCAACCCAAGCAGTAACCTCCGCTGTTGAAAAATGAAGCAGATGGTGAATTGTAAAATCCTGCAATTCCTCGAGTGTCCACTAGAGGCTGGCTTCAGAAGCACAGGAAGTCACATACACACCCATTCTAAAAAGCCTGTTTTTACAGCAGAGATTAACATGTTTACAGCCTGGTTCAAAATGGACTCCGAAGCTCCTTCAGTGAGCGACTTGTGATGCCACAATGTTCCACTGAACGGCTTAGAAGGTCTTTTGTTCCTGCAAGCTTTTACATCTGGCTGAATTGGATATGAAGCCCCCCCCAAATGTCTGAGCTCCTCCCCCTCTCTGTAAAGGCTCTGACACACAAAGCAGACGGCAAAGAACTAGTGGCAACGAAGGCTGCCTCATGTCACATCTCGTCTTGACCAAAAAGTTTCACTTGAACACGCCGCAAAGACTACAGCCGACGGCAAACCACCATGTACATTCTGCAGTTAGAAGAAATAACTCTCCATGCCAGCAGGGGGCAGTAGTCGGTTGTTATGATACGAGAAGACCATTTTCACACCGCTCTCGGTCACCACTCGTATTATAGGTCGTCTACTAATGGAGAATAATGTCTGATAAAAAGTTGAATATGGCGCTGGTGTTGTCAGCTCTTGGTCTTTTAGTGGAAAAAGAAAAGAAGAGGCGGAGGAGACAAACAAGGAGAAACCGCACTAATGGGTGAAAGCATGGCTACTACAGCAACATGCTCAAGGGGCTTTACTGAACCTGTGAGGAGAGCTGGAGAGAAATGAAACCTCCCAACAGCCAATCAGAGAGTCCAAATAGGAGCGAAGATGATCTCCTTGGTGTGTCAGGGCCTTAAGGCTGAACCTTCAGAGGAAACTCATTTCAGCCTCTTCACATATCTACAATAAATGTAGTTTTATAAACATCTTTGATACCTCGAGTTTCCAAACATTTGACTGGTTAGGGGAGATTTCCTTAAAGACGCAATGAGCTGTGCAGACGGCGTTTGCATTCCTATCACTGAAACACCAAAGAGTGAAATCAATAAACCAGCGGATGGTTGAGATGATGAGATTCTGCTAAAGTCTGAAATGTGAGCGGGATTTGATCGACTTCTGGAGCCTGAATCCACCGAGGGCCACATCAATCATGGTAATGAATTCAGCCACTTAAATCAGTCCAGAGAACTGGGAAATAATGAAATATGCGAGGAAATTAATTGACACCCTGTGGTATAGAAACACTGTTCATAGTCATCCTCCCCACCCACACAGAGCGCCACACGGGCTTAACCAACGCCAACACTTTCCTTTCATGGTTTCATCAGTCCGCCTGAGTCATAATCGTCTCTCCTGAACGACCTCTCCACATTTCCAATCACGCAGCCTCCGACCACGACTAAGAGCAATACAGTACTCATCAAGAAAGACATGGCGCCATTCTACATGAACCCAGCGAGCTGATTGAGCACGAGGAAAAGGTCCTGCTGTCTTCAGGTTAACTGTCATTTCTCAAACACATTCACAGACTGATGGACTGGTTTCATACTTTGCATCCTCTAAAAGCGTCAAAGCGTTCAATACTCCACTTCACCTTTATCTGTAACAGTGGGGATGAAGAGTTAGAGTCCGTCCAGTGGAAGTGGGATGTAGAGGATTCATAGCACGATCAGCTGTCTCATTACGGAGAGAACAGGAGACGGGGGGAAGCAGCTTAAACCAGCCAGTGGATTTGGATGAGGAGGAATTATACCAGGGGGGAACAAAGGTAGGAGAAAAACATTCATCTCCTGTTTGTCTCTCTCCTCTAGAGAGAATGAGGGAGTCAGGAGGGGATCAGGACACCTCACCCTTGTCTTTCTATTTCTTCTGTGTGTGTAGGTAGTATAAGCAGTGTTGCACAAAATAAAGTAAAGGTCTACATGGGGTGTGGTGGGCAGTGAGAGCCGGCATGGAGGGGGGGTAGCTCTTGAGGTGTCGTGGGACTAATCAGATAAAACAGTATAAAGGAAGTTCCCACCTGACGACCCCAATGGTGTCCTGGCTCCGGCTGACCATCGGTCTACACGGTTGAGTTGTGGGGGCCAGAAGGGGCCACGTGGTAGGAAAGTTAGTGTCAGAGCTGTCACCACCTGGAGCTCACATCAACAACAGCCTGCAGTCAGTTATTGCTGTTTCGGTTGCTGTGGCAACGAAGAACCAAAAGGTAGTTTTTGTAACTTATCAGTGGGACGAGTGGGTTCTCCTCTGAGAGCTCATCCTTTCATTAGGGTCATGAGGTGCAGAGGAAAACAGTTAACCCTTCAACAGCTGCAGACAAAAATATTGACAATGTTGTCAACAGATGAATGCAGCCCTGGAGTGTGTGCAGGAGATTACTTGATATACGGGAGGACTTAAGCGCAGTTTGATATTCAGCGTCATCTCTGGTTAGTCTTCTTCACGTTCATCCCCTGAATGTTTTAAAAGACACTTTAAGAATATCTTCAGTTATTTATCATTTTTCAGCCTTTGGGGAGAAAACTTCAGGAACATGAAAGACTGAAACGTTAAGATTTGTCCTCGAAACACCGCAAACGATATCTGCTGCTGGAGTTAAAATCTGGGTCATTAGTCTTTGAACATTCTTGGTTTCAGACTCCAGAAATGAGCCGATAATCCACTCCAAATGCTGGCTGTGTGGCGTCTTAAAGATCACGTGAAAGTGAAATGTAAATGAGAACAACAGGACGCTTCTGGGTCAGGTTTCTGAGCTCGAGAGAATGGCGAGCAGATGAAGACGGTTTGGAGGAAAGATGTAAAGCAGCTTTGTGTCCAAACTGTGGACTCACCAAATGTTCACAGATAGAGAATGAACATCCAGAGTATCTGAGATGTTTAGTAAGATACAGAAAACATGAGTCTTCCCCTCTCTCTCTCTCACACAAACACACACACACACACACACACACACACACACACACACACACACACACACGCACTCACACACACACACACACACACACACACACACACACACACACACACACACACACACACACACACACACACACACACACACACACACACACACACACACACACACACACACACACACACACACACACACACACACACACACATACACACACACACAGACACACACACAGACACACAAACACATGCA